GGGGACAGAGGGGGAGGAGGAGGCACGGCTGGTAAGGGTGTGGGGCCTGTGGGCCCTGGGGTGTGGAGAGCTGGCCTTGTAGGGTAGGGGCGCAGGCAGCACTGGGCAGGCAGGGCGGCTGAGGCTCACCCAGAGTCTCCATGACCACACCGGGGATCACCTTCTTCAGGACCTCACAGTTGGTGTGCAGGGCAGGGTTGGAGTTCATCTCTAAAAGCCACACCTGTGGGAACACTGGTCAGCAGCCCAGGTGGCCAGGACCCTGCCCGTCACACCTTGTGTTCCCTTGGGCCCATTTCCCTAGTTTGCCAAGGATTTGCCGTCGGAGGAGGGTGTGCAGGCCTCCCCCGCTGCAGCTCTAGTGGGGGCCTCATGGGCACAGCATCCCAGACTAGGTGCCGGCTGGGGCGGCTGACTTCACCCCCCACCTGCAGGTCTGCTTCGATGGTCAGGGGTACAGACAGCCCTGCTGCCCAGACCTCATCCACCCAGGGCAGTACCTGAAAGTTCTCATCGATCAGGAAGTCACAGCCAATGAGGTCAAAGTAACCCAGCTTGCACTCCAGCTTGGACTTCACTGCCAGGAAGCAATGGGCCATGATCTGCTGCATCCGCTTCTGTGGGTGTGGTGGGCAGAGCCTGGCTGTCACCTAGAGGCCCTGGTTGTACCTACCAGGCCTGAGTCACCTGTACCCTCGTCTGCTCTGGCTCACCTGTCGACACTCCCTCTCCTTTACAGTCTTGGTAATTGCACAACTTTGTGAATGCACTAAAAACCACTGAACTGTGTACTTAAAAATGGTGAAATTTATGGCATAAAGACTACTGGGTGGGTAGTTGGAGACACTTCAGTGGGTAGTGGCCGACTTTCACAACCCACAGCCATAGTCTGTCCCACCTCATTGCCCAGTGGCTCCACTGCCAGTAGAAAATGTCCCTGAGAAATGAGGACACCCACCCCAGATGACCCTTAAACAGGGAAGCCCTGTCTCCTGTCTTGTCTGTAACTGGGAGAGGACTGCTCTCTGCTCCCGCTGGCTGCTCTGCCCAGCAGGAAAGCTTGTGAGTCATAAAAACTCCTGAACTTTTAAACTGGCTGTGTGGTGGGTGGGGAGGCTGCACTTGAGGATCCCTTTCTGGTGGGCCTGCCCTCTCCACTCTGCTGGGCTGCTGTGTTGTCTCCCAGATCATTAACCTTAAGAAAAGTGTCTTTCAGAACACACGTGCTGGAGACTGGGCGTGGCAGCGTGCGCCTGCGATCCCAGCTCTTGGGAGGCTGTAAACAGGCGGATCACTATGAGTCTGATCTAGTAGTGAGACCCTGAACACCCTGTAGACCCTTCCCTAAAATACAAAATAAATAAAAATTTAAAAAGAACACACTTGCTGGGGACATGGCTCAGTGGTCACATGCATTCTTAAGCTGTACATGAGGTCCTGGTTCCATCCCCAGCAACACAAAACAAAAAAACCCCACATGTACGGAGACCTAGGTTCAGTGCAGCTGCCCATACACTCCAAGGACACATAGGAGTCTTGTCCCCAGCCAGGCCCAGGTGGGCACACACAGATCCTACCCAAGGGTCCTAGCCTGAGTGTCCCACCCCTGCACCCCAGGCTGGCTGGGCACAGCAGGGACATACTGTGAAGGTGGTAAAGACCCAGTCCTGGGGGAGGCCCTTGGTCCTCTGGAACTTGTCGTTGATGTAGCGGTTGAGATGGTCCATGCTCCACACGGTGTCCTCCTTCAGCAACATGTACAGGGGATTCTGCTTCTGCACGAACTGCGAGAGAGCATAGCCTGGCACTGCCCCTCAAAGCAGGCCTTGCAAAGCTCTGCCTTGGAGACCCCTTAAGCAAAAGCCACCTTGACTCTTACAGGGCCCTTTCCTAGGACTCTCCTATGGCGGCCCTTCCTCAGCACACTGGGGTGGGAGCTGGGCTGGAGACTGTGGAGCTCTGAGTCATTTCATCAGGATGGCGGGGTCCCTGTCATGGCCTCTAAGACTGGGTCTCCTTGGGCTTGGGCTACAACCCCAGCAGACCGTGCTGTGTCCCCAAGCAGTGAGAGCCCCCTCTTGTCTCATGCCACACCTGCCAAGAAGGCTGTCTACCTGGTTGGTCAAATGGCTGCTAAGGTCACTGGAGTGGGGGTCGTAGAGGTTGAGGGTGAGGCGAGCATAGCCATGGCCAAAGAAGACCATGTAGGGCACGGCACAAGCGATGAGCAGGTAGGAGCGCACGTCAAACTTCTTCCCATTCAGCAGCAGTGGGTTCTGGATGTACCTGGGGCACCACAAAGGCTGCTGGGGCTGAGCTACCTGGCCACTGACTGGTGGCCCCTCCCCCGCCCAGGCCATTGTCTCTGCAACCCTGGCTGGGTACCACATCCACAATCAGGGGTGCTATCTAAATTTAAACAGGTATGAGAAATTGGGAATAGGGGCCTGCTGTTAGGTCTCCGTTCACCGTAGGTGTCTGGCCCAGCCTGAGTGTGACCGTAACCCTGACCCTGAAGTGGTTGGCACAAGTTGGACCCTGGGGCATGGAGGGCTCCTTTGGGGCAATGGGAGGTGAGGGAATGGAGAAGAAGGGAGGGGGCAAGATAGTGGGGCCTCAGGATCAGAGGGCTTGATGGGAGGAAGGAAAGGGCTGTGGCCAGAGCACATCCAAACTGGGTCCCCTGCATCCCTGAGTGAAGCTGAAGGTCCGCCTGGAGGCCCAGGAGTCCCATCAGTTCTGGTTGATTGAGATAGGGAGCAATGAGACAGCTTCAAGTGGAGGACAGAGGGACAACCAACACAGTTCCTGGTGAGCCTGTGTCTGGGGCTCATTGTGATCCCTCCTCTCTTGCAGCCCCAGGACCCAGCTGTAAGTGGCTGGAGGGTCCCTTGCCGTACTGCTGGCTCCCCAGGTCACCCACCCAGATCACCTCTGTGCCACTCGTGCCTGAAGCCCCCGGAAGGGCATCTTGCAGTGAAGGGGAGCATCCTCTGTGCTCTGTATCTTGCCTTGCAGGGTGTTAAGCTCTTCCTGGCTCCTGATCAGAAAGATGCCCTTGCCCTGGTTGGAGGCTGTGGGCTTGCAGATCCATATCTGGGTTTCTGCAGGGAGTCCTTCCACTGAGCCTTTCATCCACCCCACCATGACCCACCTATCTGTGCCCTGTCCACCCCTGGCACCTCCACCCCATGACCACCCCTTCCTTACAGCCCATTTGTGACACCAAGGGTGGGGCGTCCCCTGGACCTGACCATCTTGGCCATACCTGGTCCTGGCCCCACCACCTGTTCTCTACACTCCTAGCCCCATCCATAGCCACACCTCCATTCCTGCCCCACCCCACCCTGGCGTCCCCCATCACCTGCCGGCCGCATGCATCTCTCTACACGACCCAGATCCCAGGACCTAGCCTCAACCCTTTCCTTCCTGCACTCATCCACATCTAAGCCCAGCTTTGGCCCTGTTCCGCCCTGTCCTACAGCTCATGCCTCCTCTGGTCCTGACCAACTGGATGTGCTCTACCCTGGTCCTGCCTCAACTGCACCCACACCTGGACCAAGGACCAGAGCCCTGGTATGCTGACCTCCCTACCCACACACAGCTTCACCCCCTGCCTTTTTTGCTGACTTCTCCAGGACCACACCTTGGCCCTTTTCTATCTGCCTGCCTGCCTGCCCTGGGTCCAGCTGGGCTGCTCACCATCAAACAGGGTGAAGAAGGCCTGCCTCTCATCACTTACATCCAGGCGGTAAGTCTCAGGGAAGAAGTCTTCCATTTTTAGCATCCTGGGAAGCCAAGGAGGTGGGGAAGGTCTGGAGACTGTCTTCTGCCCCAGGCTCGGCAGGAGTGTCCCCTAAGGACCTCCCTGGGCCCAGGTGCCTGTCCTGGCACCCTGCACCCCTCTAAGTTGCTTCCTTTGCAGGCCTTGATCCACTCTGCCCTGCCAGGGCACCTGGGCTGCTCATAACCCGGCTTCCAGGCACTGCCTGATTGTCTGGTCCTCCTCCCAGCAAGCCTCTGTTCAGAGCAGAGCCCCAGGGCTAGGACTTGCTGGCATGCAGCAGGTGGTCAGTACAGGTCCAGCTAAACGTCTGGTTTGCCCTTCATCCCTTCTCCCAGTGCCAGGTCATCCAGTTCAGGTCAGAATAATACCCCGTGCCACCCCAGCTGGGATTAGTGCATGTCCCTCTCTGGTCCAAGGTGTGCTTTCCAAACACACACCCTAGGAAACACAAGACCTGACCAGAGTGGCCACGTCCTGTGCTTGGAGAATGAGTGGGTGGAGTGGGGGGGGTAGAGAATGTGTGGCCTGGAGGTAGTAGTTAGGTGGGCAGGTGGCCTGCTGGCAGGTGAAGGGCTTAGGGAGCCAATAGGAGTAGGAAGTGGGTAGCTGGACATGCAAATGGCAAGGAACAGAGTGGCAGGTGGCGGAGGGAGCATGTTAGTAGGCAAGTGAAGGAGTGAGCCCCGGGTGGGCGGGTGAGTAATGAATACACTCAGTGACTGGGGGCTGTGTGGGCAGGAGAAGGGGGAGACTGGAGGATCAGTGGGAACAGATACGGAGAGTGTGGTAGGTGCTGTGTGGGGGCAGACGGGCATCATGTTCAAGGTCGGGAGTCTTTCAAGACCACGGAGGAGCCAGAGATGGCTGTGGGCAGGATGGGGCTCACCTGGTCTGCGAGCCCGGTGGCATCCGGTGCCCCTTGCTTAGAGTCCTCTCATATTCCCGCAGGGCACTAAGCAGCCCGATCTTGGTGGTGAGCAGCTTGTTGTTGGGGAGCTGGAATAGCAGCTGCTGACCTGGTGGAGGGGCAACAAGGTTGGTGCAGGTGGCTTCCAGGCCCTGGCAGGCACCCCACCCTGTAGGCAAGTGCCCCACCTTCGCGGAAGCTATAATAGTTGTCCCTGCACTTGACCTCGCACCACTTCAGCCGGTAGTCCTCCCGTCGGCTATCTTGGGTACGCTGCCAGCCCTTGCTCCTGCAGTAGGCGCTGATGCTGTGGAAGGGCAGTAGTGACCCACAACCACAGGGAGGAGGGAAGAAGCCTGCAGGCAGCCATGTGAGCTAGGCCCAGGGCAGGAGAGTGGGCAGCCAGAGCTGTGGGCCCTCACTCACATGGAGGCCCCGTTGCTGCCGCCAATGTAGAAGAAGGGACCCTGCCCATTGCTGGGGAGGTGCCTGTCCCTGTCTTGCAGGAACTCTTTCAAGAGGGTTGCTGGGGACCTGGTAGCATCTGTACCATCCAGGAGGTCTGTGGACAAGTGGGAGTGGGAGTCCAGGTTCTGGGCTCCATGGGGTACTCCCTGTCTCCTTCTGGCTACAGAGCCTACCTGCATCTGTGTTCAGTTGGCTCAGCTGCTCCTCGCCCCTGCTGCCCATCCGTCTCTCATGGGTCCAGCCTAGGGACCATGGGGTAAGGTGCTTCAGCCTGTGCCAACCCATTCCAGCAGCTCTTGAGCAGTCAGGTCACCTAGCCCTTTGAGTCTCACCACAGCCTAGCCCAGACCTGACTAAGGGGCCCTGGACCATCATACCTTAGGGGGACAGCTACTACCTTACCAGGGCCAGCCCTTGGGTGGGCAGGATCCAGGTGGATGTGGAGAAGGCACAAGGTCCAGGAGGCAGACCTACCCCACCCTCCTGACCCACAGGGCTGTAGCTCCGTGCAGGGCAGGGGTGCAAGCCGGGGTCAGAGCAAGCCTGCAGGAAGTCCCCTGGGGTAGGGGTCACAATGTCCACAATGACGTCACCAGTGACCCAGGGGCCATTGTCAGCCAGGAGAGATGAGGGGGTGCCCTGGGTGAGGGTGGAGTGGTTTGGGTAGGCAGAACCCACTGGCCTGAGAGAGGAATGCCGTCCTCTACCCAGCAGCACCATCTGACATGGAGTCTCCCAGGACCTAGGCCCCTCCTCTGAGGTCACCCGCCCTGGCTGTGTTGCTTGGCCCCGGAGCCCTGGCTGGGCCAGGCAGAGCTGTCCCACGCTTGCTGTTCATTCACCTGGCACCTGGACATGGTGTCGCCGGATCCTGGGCCGCTTAGGTCTTCTGGAGCAGATGTGGGTCCATGTATGCTGACCCCAGTGGTGGACAAACAGGCAAGGGCCTCTTTGGGAAAATGCTGCCCCCATTCTCCTGTGGGGCCTTCGGGTGGCGTGAGGCCTCAGCCCTTGAACAGGGCATAGGGTTAGGCCCGCCCTGCCCAGGGAAGGCTGCTTTCTCCTGTCCTGGGCTGTGGCTTCTGCTCGAAGCTGGTTCCTGTTTTGGTGATGGCTGTGGGGCCTTGTAGCCTGAAGGGTTGAGGCCATCTCTGCATCCTGCACTGCTGGCACTGTCCTGGCCTTGCCCAGAGCTGCCCTGGTCCTGGCTGTAAGGAGGGTGGCCATCAGGCCTACTCGGGCACTCGGATGCCTGGCTAGCATCCCGGGCAGTCCAGTCAGCATCCTGTCCACGCAGTCCCTGCCCCAGGGCTCATCCCCATGCTGTCCTGCGTCTCTGTGTTAATAACTTTGAAATACTTCAGACAAGTGTGTAAGTATGTATATTTCAGACAAGTGTGTAAGTATGTATACTTCTTCAGTACTCAGGAGTGAACCCAGGGCCTTCATGCAGACCTGCAGCCCAGTTTTCCCACACAAGATTTCACTAAATTTCATCTTCCTGCCTTAGTCTTGCAGAGTTCTGAGATTACAGGAGTATGCCACCATACTCAGCTTCAATGTTGAACAACTTTTAGCCAGTTCCTGACCAAGTCATTCTACTTTAGTTTCAAAAAATCCAGCTCTGGGCTGTTAGGGAGGCAGGGCTTTCTGAAGGTCTCAGAATATATGCAAATATGCCAGCTTGAGCAGGACAGAGGTGACATGGAGGTGTGCATCTAGGAAGGGAGAGCCAATGGAGGCTCCCAGGGTGGGGTGGAAGATCAGGTCATCTCCAAAGAGAAAAACTGCTCTCTGGCTGGACCAGCTGGGCAGCCAGCAGTGCCAGCAGGGACAGTGGCCCCGTGACCACCAGCCAGGCAGGTTTCGTGTCTGCCCTGCCCTGCCCTGCTGAAGGGACAAGAGAGGGGAGAAAAGAACAAATGCAGAGAGATGGAAAAAGAGGAACCCAGGGGCCGCCCATAGTCACCTTGCCCAGCATGGGAGAGTCTTACACTTCTGAAATGTCAGCCTCCTCCAGCTCCAGGGAAAAAGCAGAGGGTGTGGGCTGGGGAGGATGGGCAGGATGGGCAGGTGTGTATGTGTGTGCACGTGTTCAGGACTACGTGGTCACTGTAGACTTGGCCCCATCCCAGAGTGCCCAGCACCTGGTGGCTGGCCCAAGGAGTCCCGACATTTCACCACAGTCCCTGCCCAAGCGGCTCCACGGCCCCAGAGGACCCAAGGCAGGCCTCCCAAGTGCGTGTGAGAGAGCGATGCACAGACAGGAAAAGGAAGGGGGTGATGACCCAGAAGCCACTTGGCCTGAGAATGTGTTGGGGTGGGGGGACACCAAACCACCAGAAGGGAGCTGAGTGCTTTCAAAACAGGAAAGAGCATGGACACCAAACAGCACAGGGTTGGAACTAAAGTCCAGGAAGTGACCCAGGAAAGAGAAAGGGAGCAGAGCCTGCAGAAAAATCAAAATCACAGACCCACCAGGGCCAGACATCTGGGCAGAGCCCCGCAGCCTCTGCGGGGACCAGGCTCCTGATCTCCTTCCCCAGCCCAGCAGCCGAGGTGGGGAAGGGCGGTTCCTGGAATGAGGGACCAGGAGAAAGAGGGTACTTCTGCCGCTTAAAGTTGCTGGGCCTGCGTTTCTTCTCTGGCACACTGGGTGGGAAGGGTGACAGGAGACTGGCGGGTGCTGTGAAGACGGATTTCTACCTGGAATGTCTACCTCAGGGTGGCGTCTGCTCCCGCCAAGTGTGTGCTAGGGTTAGGACAATCACATGAGTGCCCAGGAGGCCATGGCCATGGGGACAGTTCAGGAAAACAACATTCAGACTGAGGTGTGGCCCACTCAGGGAATACGCTGCCAGGCGGGGGCCTTGGCACCGCTTGCAAGCTGTAGGCACTCTCAGGCAGGTGGGTGCCAGTGTTTTTATCACCCCTGCAAGCGGCAGCAGCATCAAGTTTAGAAATGTGAGGGTAGTTAGAAAGTTCAAACAAAAGCAAGAAGAAAACAGCCCTGTCCCATCCTTCCCTGGCAGCATCCTGACTGATGCCACAGCTGAGAGACATCCAGAAGAGCGGTGTGGGTGCACTGCTCTTCATTATGAGCTCAACTTTTTTTTTTTTTTTTTCTGGTGGTACTGGGGATTGAACTCAGGCCCTTGTGCTTGCCAGGCAAATACTTATTCCACTGAGCCATCTCCCCAGCTCCAAGAGTTCAGCTTTGATACTTGTTATTTCTACAAAGAAATAAGCCATTACTATCATTTCTTGTCATTCAAATGGACAAAGACTTTAAAGAACCCTGGCGGGGGTGTGCCAAACATAGGGCCCTGTACATGGGGAGGCTGGGTAGCGGCCAGCCTCCAGCTGCATGTTCTGGTAGCTGCATGTTCAGGGACTGTAAAGGGCAGGACTCTAAATCAGAAATGAATTTCTCGTCAGAGGTTTGTCAACCATGGCTTCTAAGGTGGGACCAGGAGGTGAGCCATCCACAGCAGGGGACAGTCGTGCATCTTCTGGATGGGACGTTACTTCAGATGAAGTAAAAACAGGTGAAGGTCAGGCAGAGTACCCACAACTTTATAAATTCAAAATGTTTTTACCTGGTTAGGTTAAAGGCTGGTGGGAAATCACTCTGGTTCGACAGATGCTTTTAAATCTGAAGAAAATGTTCAAGAAAACAAACAGGTCTGTGTCTTGTTGCAGGAAATCCCCACACAGGCTGTTGCAGAGGACAAACCTGCTGTGAAGAGCTTGTCCTGAGAGTGCCCAGCCCTCCCCCAAGCCCACTAGTGGAGAAGGTTCAGCTTAGCCAAGCCACTGACCAGCCTCTCACAGTCTCCCCTCCCTTCCTTTGATTCCCGAGTCCCCAGGGGACCACAGGAGGGCAGGGCCAAGCCTCACATTTAGTCCCAAGGATCCTGCTTTGCCACTCCCTCTTACCTAACCAAGAGGTCTCCGAGCCCTCTGCTGGGATACAACAGTGGTGACCTGGCAGTGTCTCCTGGCAACTGTTACCTGGCAACTGTGTCCCAGCAGCATCTGGGTAAACATGGGCTTTAGGTGGCTAGTAAAGGGGCCAAGGTCTGGGCGGTGTGAGGGGCAGAGAGTGGCAGGCAGGATAGACAGGGCTCTGACTCCAGCCTCCAGCCACATGAGCCCCGCGCCCTGCTGACCTTCTCTCCTGGGGTCCTGCACAGCACTGCTTACTCTGGGGGCTCCTTGTTTAACCAGAGGCTGCACTCCATGTGTCTCTTCCTGTCAGAGTGGGGCCTCTCCCATGGCAAGGCAGAGCTGAGGTGAAGAGGCTCCATCTAGAGGGAACCCCAGGGTTTCCACCCCACCCTGTTGCTCCTTGCGGGTCAACTTCCTGTTGCTGGTTCCATCCACCGAGGGTCTCTGGGCTCAGTCCTGGTGCACCATCCACTGGGCTAGCCTGGCAGACCCTCTGCCTGTGCAGCTGTGGCCGGTCTGGCGGCCGAGGCAGAGGCGTCTGGAGCAGAGAGCCTCTCAGCCACACCCTGGCCGAGTGAGCGCCAGTCTGGACAGTGCAGAGGAGGGAGTGCGCGTTCCCACCTGTGCTGACCCTCTCCGCCTGCATAAGAGCCAGGCCCAGGGAGCAGGGCAGCCTGCCTTCCAGAAGCTTGTCCCAGCTTGCATGGCGGCCATGGGCAGCACCAGCCACAGTCAGCCTGCCCTGTGGTGGGAGCACAGACTTGGGGGCCTGCAGCGCTGACTGCTAGGGCCTTCTTGCCAGGCCAAGGCTTTGAGAGATGCTCACTTTCCCCAAGTCTGGGCTCAGAGAGCTCTGCCTCAGAGATCTGCTCTGCCATCCCCATCAGCATTATTTGTTGTCCTTCCTGCTGCTGGTTCCCTTCCCTGGGACCAGAACTGAATCAGGAAAGACTCAGGGATAGAGCTGAGGAGAGGCCTCTCTCCCAGCAGTGTCACGGAGCCTCATGTAAAAGCTTTGGCTCACCATTTTATTATTTATTTATTTAGTATTTTTTTTTTTAGGGAAGGATCTGCAGGGTGTTCAGTGTCTCTATTATAGACTTATAGTGATCCACCTGTTTCCAGCCTCCCAAGAGCTGGGATTACAGGCATATGCCACCATACCAAGTGTCAATTGCCATCTCAGTGTGCCCCGGGGGCAGGGCTGGCATGGCAGGCCTGGGGATCAAACCTCCAGCTCCTGCGCCTGCTTGGAGGCGCTTTAATTCACTGAGCTATTTGGTGGGCCCTTGGGTCACTATTCTGTGTAGTTAATAAAAAGTGGTCAGAGACTGGGTGTGGTGGGGTGCACCTGTAACCCCAGTGCTTGGGAAGCTGAAAACAGGAGGATCACTACGAGTCTGATCTGTTTAGTGAGACCCTGAAGACCCTGTGCTAAATACATTTTTTAAAAATTTAAAAAAGAGGTGGTTAGAGTCTGCTCGCTTTCACAAATCAGTTTATTGCATACAGACTTTTCCATTTTGTTTACAATGAGGCACGCAAGACCAAGGCGGAGCCCACACCTTCCGGTGCCTTGCCAGCAAGAAGCCTGGCTCAGAGTCCAGGGCTCAGGTGGGAGCTGCTCCAGAATGAAGCCAGCTGAGTCCCAGGGCTCCTTGTTTATAAGTGTAGCGGCTCTCAAGAGGGCCTGGCTTCATCACCCCTGAAGATAGAGAGGAGAGCCTTGGGGACATGGGGTGGCCAGGTACAGGATTAGCACCCAGGCTTGGATATGCTTCCAACCAGTCTGAGGGCTGGCCACACTCAGGTTTGGGCGTTTGGGTCCGGGGCTGAGGTCGAGCCCATGTGGGTCTGGTAAGTGAGCTGCCACATTCCCTGGGGGAGGGGTCCACTGCAATGCTCATCACAGCAAACTCACGTCACTCATGAGCCAGTTCAAAGCTGCTCCAGAATCATCAATTTTGTGGAGCTCCTTCAAATTCTGGGAAAGAAGGGCCTGGGGGCGCTTCTGCAAGACTGGGTCTTGTCAGTGCCTAATGCTGGGGTGTGATCAGCTCCCTGGGTCTCAGCCGACAGAGCTGTGGGCATAAAGGGGACTCGGGCAGGGTTGCATTTCCTAACACCTGATTTCCCTGGGTATGGTTGCCATCACTTGGTCTGGCCCCTGCCACCTGAGGTGGCCCCAACCACCTCATCCCTAGATGTGTGGAGGAAGGCCCATTCTCCATCCCCGTGGCCTGCCTGTGGCACCTCTCAGGAGTCTCTCGGTCGTGGTGCTGGCTGGGATGAGTCACATGCCGACTATTCCCTCCCTGCCCATGTGTCTTTTTCTCCCACACTGGCTTTGGGGTCATGGATGGGGCAGTGGTGCTTCTGCCTGGTTCTTATTTGGCACCTGGCCTTGTATATGTATGTGGGGGATACTGAAGGCCAGGCTTAGGGTGGGGGCTTCCATCTCTGCAAGTGCCAGGTGACTGCCCTTGTAGGCTCCTCCATGTGGGGACCAGGCTGTGTCACAACAGCCTTGCTTGCCTGTGCTCCAGAGGGCAGCAGATGCAGGTTTCAGCACATGGAGCCCTTGGGCACATCAACACCTCTGTGGCTGGGGCAAAGCCACCTTGGAGTTGCAGGGAGGCAGCAGGGTCCTGGGGCCTCAAGCAGCTGTGCCGGATGGGCCACAGGCCTCAGCCTTTGCCTGGTATCCAGTGAGAGCTCCATGGGTCCAGCAGTTCTGCTCCAGCGGTGACCAGGCCGTGGATGGACGGCATTACCAGACAGTATTAGACAGAGGCATCCAGATCTAACCGTGTCTGGTAAGACGCCCATCATGGGCGAGCACAGGCTCCTCTGGTCCTGGTGCCTGCAGAGGGAAGGTATCTTTGGGGGCCTACCCTTCTCAGCAGTCAGCCTCAAGCCCAGGCTGCTTTCCTGGTGCTAGCCTGGCCCACATGTTGGTATTGTAAATGCCTCCAGGGAATAGTCTGGACTAGGGGATCCAGGCCAAATGCTCACCTCCAGCCTCACAGTTTCCTGAATGATTCTAGGCAGTTTAATGAGTAACAGAAGGTTGGGGCAGACCCCATCCTGCCCCCAACAGGTAAGCTGCTGGCTCAGAGTCCTGGCCTCAGATCAAAGAGACACAATGGGTCATCCTGGATTGTGATTTTGGGCAAATTTCTTGTTCTCCTTGGCTGGCAGAGGGAAGGCAGACTCTGTCCTTGATCAAGAGACAGCGGGGGAGTACCTCAGCGCCCTGTGTAGCACTCAGGCACCTGAACCACACTGCTCTCCTTGGTCTCTAGAAGCAGGGAAGCAGAGCAGTAACACAGCCCTGAATGCTGAGAGAGGACATGGGCCCAGGCCTCCTTCCCTAGCCCAAGGTTCTGGCTCTGATGCCTCTATAGGACCAGCTGAGTCCAAAAGCCAGCCTGGGAGGAGTAGAGCGAGGGTAGGGTGCACCAGAGGCTGCTCCAAGACTGGGCCCTTAGTGTGGGACAACCATCCCTAGCCAGCCTCAGCATGACGGGCAGAGGGGTCCCCATCAGAGTGAGCCCCCACCCACGGCTGGGCCCCTGCCCTGCCTGCTTCTGGGTCCAGGAACTTGGTTCGGTACATCTTCAGTTATCTTGAGAGTTTTGGGTCACCTTTGAACATCGTTACCAGACAGTGTTAGAGCCAAGCCGAGAAATCCAGCACTGTCCGGTAAGATGCCCACAGAGGCCCCGGTGTGCCAGGCCTGAGGACACAGAGTCAGATGTGCAGCTCTCCACCCACAGCTGCAGAGCCTGGTGACCAGTTCTTGAACGACATCAGCTGGATGGGGTCAGCAGTTTGGTGAGGTCCCAGCCACTGGTCTGTCCCTGGTTTTCCTTAGCCAGGAGACCTTGGGCTGCTGGCTTGACCAAGGTTGGAGGTATAGCTGCCTCCTCACAATGGCACAAGAAGGAAGAGAGGCCCAGCCTGAGCGCCCCACCCTGCGTCAGCCCAGCCCAGCCCCCACCCCATGAGGCCTTGTGGGCCCTGCTGAGCCTTCACCCTTGGAGTCCTTTGCTGCAGTTCCCCCAGCCCACACCTGCCAGGTGTGGAGCAGCACCTGCCTGAGTGCTGTGGGTAGGGCCCAGATACCTGAGCGTCCTAATCCCCAGAATGGGTAGGGGTGGAGGTCAGAGCAGCTGCAGGAAGCCTTTTGTCCCAGGGTCTTCTCACCAGAGAAGCTGGGGCTTCCCACAGCCGCCTCCTCAAGGTCCAGTTTCTGTCCCACAGGTCCACCCAGAAGCCAGTGGGCAGGACCAAGGGACGGACCCATTGTGGGGACTCGGGGTTGGAGCCAGGGAAGGGGAGGAGGGAAGGCGGCCCCATTGTTGCGCGCAGGGCTCCACAGTCATCATTACCAGGCAGTATTAGAGATCGGACACCATCCAATGCTGCCCAGTAAGATGGCCACGGCTGCCCGTATTGGTTTGGGGGCCGCCAGCTGGGGGTCAGGAAGGGTTTGATGGGTGCCTGAGGGGAGCTATACCCTCTCTACATAGTGGGGTGGGGTATAGCCCCAGGGGACAAGGGCTAGGCAGGGTTCCAGGTGCCTGAGGCCTGGGGCCCCAGAAGGGCCCTCCAGGAGCCAGGTTGTCCTGCCCAGAGGCAGGTGGCCCAAAGAATAGGAAGGAAAGCAGGGCTGGGTGGAGCCTCCCTCAGGACAGTCCTTGAGAGAAGTGTGGCCCTCGCCCCCAGTGTGGACACAGACTGCCTCCTATGTCTAAGGCTGGCCAGGCTGTACTGCTGGACTCTGTGCCTTGCCCCAGTGTCTGCTTCCTGCCCAGCCCCCGCCTGCCCTTCTCCAGAGCCCAGGAAGGGCACTAGCTGAGCCACAAGCAACCAGGCTCCAGGGGCAGGAGAGCTCTCCTCTCACAGTTGTCTCCTAGCGGCACTGGGGCCTAAGCAGGTGGGGATAGCAGCCCCAAACAGAACATAGAACCCTCTACCCAGGCACCCATGGGGACAGGGCTGTTCAGAAAGGGGTACTCTTTAGCCCCTAAATGCTCAGGGCCCAAATGCAGCCCCTCATGGAGCCAGGAGACCAGGGTGCTCAGACCCAGCACCCTGACCTCTTCCAGACCCTACCCTGCTCCTGCCTCATGGCAGCTTGGGCTTGGAGAGCCAATTGAGCAGCTTGGTGAGGTGCCAGCATCTTCTTCCTGCAGAGGCTGTGGAGGGGTGCAGGCTGCGCTGATTCCACCAGACGGCCAGCTGACCACAGTCAGGCCCATGATGACCCGACCACTTCCCAGTCCTCACCATGGCCAACATTACCCGGAGGGCCTGCCCTTGCCCGGCTCAGGCCCAGCAGGTAGGTCCCACTGCTTTTCAGGAGTCTACAACGCCCATAGGCTGTCCTGGCCCCTGGCCCACAACCCCAGGTATCAGTACATGTGCTCCCCTTCCTTCCACTTCACACCTGGCCCTTTGACCCTGTTAGACTGCTGTGAGAAGGCAGTGACACTTATTTTCTGAGCTAAGGCTTCCCTTTTAGAACTTTTTTTTTTTTTTTTTTGTGGAACTGGGGATTGAACTCAGGCCCTTGTGCTTGCCAGGCAAGTGCTTATTCTACTGAGCCATCTCCCTGGCCAAGGCTTCCTTTTTAGAGCTTAGTGAAGTTTCAGCTCCTCTCCTGGTTTCTAGGCCACAGGGAAGGCCATGGGGGCTGCGTGGGGGTGTGAGTAGGTGCCTCACATACAGCCCTCCAGGCTGGATCAAGTGCATGTCCCAGCACCTGGGGAAGATAGGCCTGATGTCACCAATGCCCTTGACCACTCAGGGTCAGGACTTCTTGGGGAGCAGGAGCCCTGAAGACTAGGGGACCCTATAGGGTCCACAGCTGGCCTGGCCACAACCAGAGGGACAGAGCAGTGCTGTGCACTGCCCACTAGGCAGTCATGAGCCTCATCCTGCCCAGTACGTTGAGAGACACAAGGATGGGCATGAGCCTGGTGCAGTGGGTAGGAGAATCAGTACTCCATGCTGTAAGGCAGGGATGGGAGACGACACCTCTACCCGGAACAGCTCAACAGGGACCCTGGCTTCTCCTAGCAAGGGAGGGATGAGAACAGCTTGCGCCTCAGCCACAAGTCAAGAAATGAAAAGCGAAAACAGGCTTCTCTCCGCAGCAGCACGGTTCCCTCCTGGGCCAGGTTCCTCCAGTCCCTTAAGGCCTGTCTTCCCCAACAGCCCTGGTTAATCATCACCTTCCACCAGGCTCCTTCGGGAAAATAGAGGAAAGGCTCAAGGTGGCCCAGAGGCCCCCAGCTGGTCTGCAGTGCAAACACCCCCCAGGGCGCCCAGCACACAGCAGGCAGAGGTTGGGGTCCAGGCCAGGAATGCAATCCCAGTGTGAAAAAGTGAGCGGCTGGTTAACCTGCCCGACGGGCCTTAATCAATGGCCAGGCCTCCGAGAGAACAAAGCACTGAAACCCAAGCTTTCCTGCCTGCCTCAGATCAGCCAGACCCAGACGCCGGAGGCCGCAGGGGGCGGGGGCGGGGGCGGGGGCGGCAGGCTCGGCTCTCCCTGCTCCAGTCTGTCTTAGCTTCCGCCGCAGCTACGTGTCTTCAGGGCAAGGCCGCCATTTCACCCACGCTGCCGGCAGCGTCCCTCAGTCCTCCTTGGCGGCTGCGCAGGGCACATCCTTGCCCACTGTGCCACGGGGGACCAGATTCCTCCTCAGAACACCCCACCTGATCCTAAGGACACTAAAAGCACCCAGCAAACCAATTTTGCAAATAAGGTATTTGCAAATTATGAAAATGTCTGAAAATTAACAGTGGACTGTGTCCATGAGTTATGGTTGAGTTTCATTTTCATAAATGCAAAACGTACTTTGCCTAATTCAAGAAGCTAGCAATTGCACTACATTTATTTCATCCAGGTTACTGGAAAAATAATCCAGAACAAAACCTATTTTTCCAGATGCTCACGGTAGATTAATCAAAACACTGTATACGCCTTAAAAGTTTTGTTCACCAAGAACAATGAAAACAATGAACGCCATTGCTTCAAAGAAAACAAAGCTGCCTCCCATCACCATTGTCACCTCCTGAGTCTGAAACTGTCCAAGGAGCCAGCAGCCAGGTGCAGGCATTAGGCAGAGGGTGCCTGGCCCCAAAGCCCAGGGCAGATGTGACCAGACCCTGTCTGTCTGACTGCTCATTGCCACCCTGCTGCTTGGCATTTAAGTAAGAAACCTTTAGAATCAACTTTGGCCTGTTCCCAAGTAACAATGACAACCATCTCCAAGGTGGTACCAAAGAAGCAGGTAGGTAAGAAATAGCCCATTTTCCTGCTCAGGCCCTACACTAACTGTCACTAGCCTACAGGCCTTGGCCGACCTCTGACCACAAGGTCACTCCAGGCCACAGCCGCTGACAAAACCAAGCACTTCCATGAGCAGATTCTAGGAATCCGCGAGCAGAGAAAGAGACACCCCCAATCCAGATCCTCCACACTTACCTCTGAGACCACAGCCTTCCCATCTTGGAACAAAGTAGGGCAGGAACATCCGTTCCTCTTTGAAAAAGAACTTTCTAGAAGGTCCTGTTGCCAGGTGGATAATGGATGCAAATCCTCTGGGAGCCTGTCCTTGGCCTGTCTGGTGGCAGAACCTGCCTGGCTTGAATATGTGGCCTGCGGACCCCAACAGCTCCCAGGTCAGGCCCAAGATGGCTCCGAGCTCAGAGCTGAAACCCAGACACTTTATGGCCCGAGGGACCCACCTTCTCTTAAAAAAGGAAGGCCTCAGCTCTGTACCCGCCAACACCATACCTCACTGGACGCAGGCTACACTGGCTGCCAAGTGGCCAGTCAATCACCACAGCCCCTACGGGTCCAACCCCAGGCACACCGAGCTTCCCTGCACAACGGCCTCCCTCCTGCCCGCCCTTACCTGCCCCGACAGGTTCCTGACAGGTTCCTCTGCAGCTGATGAGCCAGTGAGGTGGAAGCTGCTCCCGCCCCCAGTCCTGTGGCCAGCACTGTCCCTGCCCCAGGACCCCAGGGAGTGGGGCCAGGCCTTGGGAGGACATGGAGAAGCTTGGGCACCATCACCGATACCTGTCAGACAGTATGAACAGCCTGGTGCTCGCATTTGCTCTGATACAACCTTCCCCCAACCCAGATTCAGCCTCAGTGTAGAGCCAGGAAGCCTGACTGTCCTCCTCTGGTGAGGCTCAGACACAAAGAAAAAGATAGGCTGAGCATGGGCAGGTGGACAGCCCAGGGACAATGAGGAGGTTGGCACGGTGGGCTGATGGGAAAGGGAAGAGCCGGCGTGGCCGGGCTCGCCTTACATGTAGCTGTTCACCCCGCCCCACGCAGGTGCCTGCTTCCAACCAGCCAATCTCTGCTCCTGGCCACCGACAGGTGTGTCCCCTGGGCTCTCATAGGCCAGGAAAGAGGCAGCTCCTGTGACGCAGCAGGGGCGGGCAGCAGTCCCCGTGCATTCTGGCCCTCACCTGGCCCGCCAACCTGAGGTTGAACAAAAACCCAGGCCTGGAGGCTTCTGTGGGGCCTGGTCAGATGTGTGGGCAGAGGCTCCCCTGAGTCCTGGGCTCCAGGGAATCCAAGGCTGGACCTGCTTTCAGCTCCAGGACCTGGCCAGGTCATAGGGCAGTGAGAGGGGGTCTTGAAACCATTTCAAGTCCCTAGGCCCACCCTGGGAGGAGCCCCAGAGCCTACAGACCCATGCTGAGGGTTGGGGTGGGGGCTTAGGCATCCCTGAAGGGGGCCTGGTACTGAGGCTGACTTCCTTATGGGGTTTCCTGGGGAGCCCCTGATGGAGGTGCAAGAATCCTTTGGGGGTACTTGGTGGGGTCTGGGGGGCTCAGGCCAGTCTGGGGAGAAGCCCCAGCTCCTTCGTGAGAGACTCTGCTCTCCTGGGGTGTGTTTATTTCTTGGCCCCAATGGAAGGCCCTTAACGAATGACAAATGATCCCTGCAATTAGCCTGAGTGACAGAGTGATCCCAGAGGGCCCGCTGTTTCCCATAACAAGCTCAAGGTATTGGTGGAAACTCCTGGTTGCCAAGAGCTGGTCTCCCAGCTGGCGCCCAGGAGGGCAGCAGCATGAGGCCCAGTGTTCTGCTGCCAGGCCCTGTAGGTCCCAGACTGTCCTCTGGGCGCAGACCTGGTCAGAGGGGCTGCACTGACCAGAAGAGCAAATGGCACCACCAAGAACTCAGCCCGGGTGCCATCCCCATACCTCCCAGGCCTCTGTACCCCCTAAGGGTTCTCTCCTTTGTCTCCTATCCAAGATATCTGACAGATCCTCTGTTCCGCTGAACTTACTTTGGCCTCCCTAAGGGCTAAGCTGAGGTGGAGGGGTACTTGGTCCTGGCATGGCTTCCTGCCCCCCAGGAGCTGTCCTGGTCCTAGGCCCGGGCACAGTGGCCTCTGGTCCCCAGGCCCTGCTCTGACAGCCACACAGTGGATGAACCCCCTCAACATCACCAAGATACTATCCTCCCAGGTGCCCACAGGGTATGTGTTTTTGGGTGGGGGGATAGGGGTCAGCAGGTATGGGGAGACTGAGGTACTACTCACTGACTGCATACCCAGAGATGCTTCCCACAGGCATCAGAGAGGAGGTTGTTCAACTCTGAACAGGACCTTTTGGCCATCCCAAATATACTTAATGTGGGCATGGTCAGACGCAGGGCCCCCAGGGATGACAATGGGCAGCTGGTAGAGCCACAGCTTCTGTCTATTAAGCAACATGGTGGGGCCCACACAGAGCCCAGGAAGGATCAGAGAGCTATGGCTAGGAGAAGTACCTCAAGAGTACAAGGTGGAGGTAGAGTACAGGCCCTGCTTCTTTTCCCTGAGGGGTCTAGAGGATGGACTGTGAGGGCTAGTAGGACAGTGCCAGGAAGGATGGCTCGGCAAGGCAGACAGAGAACACTGGCCACTGGCTGCAGATATTCTCATGTGCAGAGGGCCAGACCCATATGCTTGAGGTCTTAGAATCAGAGCAGAGGACAGAGGACGTGCAGGGTGGGGCTCTAGGCCGTCTGGCTAGGCCCGGACAGGGCTTTCCTGTGCCATCTGCACAGCTGAACTTGAGGGCCCAGACTCTTCCTGGAAGGTAGAAGCACCTGCTCAGGGCCTTGTACCCAGCAGGGGGCCAGCCTTGGATCCTTTCTGTCTGTGATGCACACCCATGTTGTCCATTTGCTTGTACGTACTGCTGAATGGGGTCTATGAAGGAAGGTGCACCACGGCCCTGAGGCAGCCCTGTGACCGCAGGCCTGGCTCTGAGAGCTCTGACCCTCGGCCAGGAGCTACTGCTCACTGCTGAAAGGCACCTAGCTGAGCTCAGAACCGGAGTGATGGGGGCAGGGAGACGGCTCAGTAGAATAAGCGCTTGCCTGGCAAGCGCAAGGGGCCAGGCCTCAGTTCAATCCCCGGTTCTAAAAAAAAAAGTCAAAAAAGCCCTCAAGCTCAAGCTTTTGGGGTTCCAGCCCAGACAGTCACTGCAGACCAGAAATGCCCTAAAGGCATTTCAAGCCTCAAAAAAAAAAAAACCTTCTAAAAAAAAAAGTCAAAGAACATGAGTGACCTGTGCTGTGTACCTGCCTCACTCTTGGCCGTGGGCCTACGTGGGAGTGGGTGCATCCCACAGAACTGTTGTCTGGGGCTAGTGGGACAGAGCAGGTTGTCCTGTGTACTGGGACAGTGTGGCCGGCCACAGTGCATGGAGGAAGCTGCTTGGGAGTCTCGGAGGTGCGGACTTCTCCAGAGGTAGCCAGCTTGGCATCTTTCTTCCCCCTCATTGCTGTGGCGCAGACTCTTCTCCTCTCGTCTAGCCACACCACACTGCTGCCACGGCGTTGCGAGGACACCCTACATACAGACCGAGGGGCCTGGCTCCTCATCTACCCTATTGACCTCAAAGTTAGGAAACAAGGGAAGTTTAATGAGGTAGACCTAACTGGGTATGAAGCCCCTGTTATCCTGATAACTCAGAGGCTGAGGCAGGAGTGTCACAAGATTGACACCATCATATAGTGTCACAAAATTTTCTTTTCTTTCTTTCTTTCTTTCTCTCTCTCTCTCTCTCTCTCTCTCTCTCTCTCTCTCTCTCTCTCTCTTTCTTTCTTTCTTTCTTTCTTCTTTTTCTTTTTTTGTTGACAGGATTTTACTATGCAGTTTGGGCTGCCCTTGTGCTCACTTTTGTAGCCACCAGGCTAGTCTTGAATTCAGATCCAGGGCTGACACAGTGTGCCTGGAATTCTGGGGCTGAGATGGCATCTGGGGTCAGAGATTGAACTCAGGTCCTTGTGCTTACCAGTAGGTGCTTATGCCTCTGAGCTATCTCCCCAGCCCCTGCCCCAAAATTTTCAAAAAAGAGAGGAACAGTAGGTCAGTGATAGATCTTTTACCTAGCATGCATGAAGCCTTGGTTTTAATCCCCAGCACCCCCCCCCAAAAAAAAAAGAAAGAGAAAGAAAGAAAGAAAGAAAGAAAGAAAGAAAGAAAGAAAGAAAGAAAGAGGGCTGGGGAGGTGGCTCAGTGGAATAAGCGCTTCCCTGGCAAGCATAAGGGCCTGAGTTCAATCCCCAGTTCTGCAAAAAAAAAGAAAGAAAGAAAAAGAAAGACAGAGTGGCTCTCAGGGAGCTGCCAAAGCAAGAAGAGGGGGACAAGATGGCTCCTGATGGGGTCCAAGACAGCTCCTGAGGGCCCTTTGCAGTCCTCTACTCTGAGCATCTGCTCTGTGACCAGCGGCAGGGCCCAGACAAAGCCAAGCTTGCTTCCTGGGGTCCCAGGCCTTCCACAGGTCTCCAGTGATCTCCCTGCACCTTCTGCTCTTGAGAAGCAAGACAGCTCTGGCTGCACTGCCTCCTGCTTCAGCAGTGACCACTCTGTTCTGCCTGGTTCTGGTTCCCGTCCAGAGAGGAGGGTTCCCACATATGTCTTCACTTGGTTGAGAGCACAACAGTCACACTGAAGCCAGCTCCAGGCCTGCTCTTAGCATTAACCCCATGCTCTGCTGCTCTGCTAGTTCCCACCTGGGCCTACAGACCCTCAGCCCTGAGGGCCAAATGTACCAGGAGGGAGGCCTGGAATCCAAGCAGGCACAGGTAGCTGGGGCAGCCTTGAGTGTCAGGAGACCCCTTCCTCTACTCCTATAGTGAAGAATGCGAGTGGCTATGGGGAGAGAGGGATGGGACTAGAGGCTCCCCACAGCATACTGGCCATGTCAGCCAGCCCAGCAGGTAGCAGCTGCGTTGGGTGCGTGACACTCTGGGAAACCAGGGGTGGCCAGGCAGAAGTGTGGCCTGGCCCTCCTGCCAGGTGTAGCATGGCCATGGCAGCAGGAAGGACAGAGAGGCCAGCTGCTGCTTGGTGTGGCCTCCCTTCAGGAGGTTCTGGCCTGAAAGTGCAGCCATAGCCCCTAGGCTGTGGCAGGCTGGTGGCACAGCTGTCCTGAGGAGACCCAGCCCCCAGTCCTGGCCAGGCCCAAGGCCTCCCTGGGTGGGGCAGACAGGACAAAGGGCCATTGTGCTGGTGCCCAGCTACTTCCTGCACGGCCGCCAGCTATAGCTGGCACCAAAAAGCAGACTGTGGGGTCCCCTTCCCTGAGACGGGGAGGATGAATAGGGCCCTGGAAACCCCCAGCCTCAACTGGAGCCCAGGGCTTCTCTTAGGGAAGGGCCAGCTCCTGCTCCCACAGATCCTTTCCCAGCTTCTCTTCCATAGCAGCAAAACCTCTGAGTCACACACCTGGCCCAGCAGGCAGGTGGACAATGGAGCCAGTGCCTGGCGCCACGGGACCTGATTCCAGAGGTCCTGCAGCCACCCAACATCCCTAGCCTCTGCTACGAGTCCCCTGCTTTGGGCTGCTTCACCTTTCAAGGTCTACCTCACACTGCTCTGGGTACAGGCAGATTCCTTTTGAGAAACTTGGGAGAAAGAACTTAGAGCAGAGCAGTCATGGCTCTGGGTCCTGTAGAGGTGACCTAGTGTTAGGATGCAGGCAGGTTTGGAGGCTGAGCCTAGGGACAAGGCCTGGCCTTCCAGCGCTGGCTGAGTTGCCTGCAGCAAGCCCTGCCCCATCTGGCAGGAAGGCATGGGTGAGGCTCAGCACCCGAGGCCCTGGGCGCACCCTGGTCCTGCTTCCTGCCCTGGGTCCTTGCAGGTGCTTCCCAGGCCACGCCCTCCTGCTGGGTTGCCAGGTGTCAGAGAGGGCAGCCTGCCACAGGTAGTCAACACATTGAGCCCCACTTCTCCACCCCTGCCCAGGGACC